AGCAAGGGATCCAAAGTTTTGGAATCTAGTCAATTCTCATAAATTAGTTTCCAATATATTTCCAAATTGTCACTCACTACTCTAGCCTAACAGTATTTATATTATGTCAGTATGACTAAGTTGGTTTTCCACTGTCCAGACTATAGACTGTTTTTCATTCTTTGTTGTTGTTGTTGTTGTTGTTGTTGTTTTGAGACAGAGTTTTACTGTTGTTGCCCAGGTTGTAATGAAATGGTGGTATCTCCACATACTGCAACCTCTGCCTCCTGGATTCAAGTGATTCTCCTGTCTCAGCCTCCCAAGTAGCTGGGATCAGGGCATGCGCCACCACACCCAGCTAATTTTGTGTTTTTAATAGAAGCGGGTTTTCTCCATCTCTGTCAGGCTGGTCTTAAACGCCCAACCTCAGGTGATCCACCCGCCTCGGCCTCCCAAAGTACTGGGATTACAGGCGTGAGTCACCACCCCTGGCCTTGTTGTTCTTACTTAATCTTTGGGGTATGTGTGTTCTTAAGCCTGGAGTATTTGACATCTTTTGGAGACACTTAGGTTACCTCTTGTCTGTGAATTGATTCTTTGGTAAAGCAACTTGATTGGGGTTTGGGGTTGTTACTTTTTCATCCTTGCAAGACAAACTTAAACATATTGTTCAGAGTGGGTGAACAGAAAGATATTGCTTGCTTATGTCCACTTCTTAAACATACTGTTCAGAGTGGGTGAACAGAAAGATATTGCTTGCTTATGTCCACTTCTCAGGCTGGAGACTCAGATTGAGTTCTAGGGAAAAGAAGAAAGAGAATAAACAAATATTCTCTGAAAGAAGTAATAAAGTAAAAATACTCCATTGGCTTGATTTTAGGTGTATGTGTTAGCACAGTTACCCCTCTATACACTTGTGCTGAGTCTGGTTGCCCAGCAGTTTATTCCCAAGTAGAAGTCATCAAGGAACCATAAAACCCTACATTATATTATTTCTCTCAGAGGCCCACAGCCCAGAATTCCTTTGTGTTTTTTTTGTGGCTTGTTTTAATTATCTCTCTTTCAGTTTTAGGACTACTTGAGAATTCTGGTGTGATCGGAAGAGGAATGGTTTCCCAGACTATTTTAAAGGGAGGCCAGACATTTGCCCCAAAGTGACATATTGGTTCTATCTGCCCGGCACTTCTAATGGGACCTGACTTTATAAACAAAAGCCCCACTGTAACTCATAAACCTTACGGTCTCAACCTAGGTCTTCACCTATGAGTTGAAAATGCTGGACTTTCAGGAACCATTAGTAATTAAATTTGCAAGATTTTAAAATACCATCACATGGCCGATTTTTTGTATTTGGTACTTAGACATAAAGTGCATTCATATTCAGGAGCAAGTAACATAACAGATCATTTAAATGACATATACAGATAAGAGTATGACATTAGAGCAGGTTTTCTCAACCTCAAGCGCTACTGACATTTTAGGCCAGATAATTCTTGGTTGTATGGGCCTGTCCTGTGCATTGTAGGACATTTAACAGCAGCCCTGGCTTTTACTCACTCAATACTAGTAACTCCCTCCTCCACTGTGGCAACCAAGAACGTTTGATTATGATGTGTTAGGTTAGGGGCAGTGTTCCCAGTGGAGAACCACTGTTCTAGAACAGTGCTTCTCAAACCTGCCTGCACATTAAAATTACCTGGGAAGTTAAAAACAAACCCAAAGTGCCTAGCCCCCGCCTTACACACATAGATTTGATTGTGAAGTAAGACCTTGGTCTCTCTTGTTATTTTGGTGGTGTTTTGGTTGTTTGTTTTTAAGCAGGTTCTAATGTGCAGCCAGGTATGAGAAGCAACCTTGTGGAGAACACCACTTTGGGACCTAGACATCTTGAGAAGTTTTGATTGTCTAGTGTTGAAATCTCAAGTACATTAGTTGAATTTTTTGGACTTTGTTGTCTTCAGTTAGAAAATTAAAGAGATGGGCTAGATTATTTCTGAATTTCTTAATTCAGAAAAAATGCCAACTTGTTTTTAAAGCCTTTTGCATAAATTCTTACTACATAGCTTTTACTGATAGGAAGATCATTGTTTTATCCATTATCCAGCCTCAAGTCCTTCATGTTTTTCTCCACTTTTGTTGCTGTCTTGTTTTTGCTCTTTTTCTTGATAATGTTTTAATAAACCACATTAGTAGATGCTTAATTGTAACTAACTATAAAGATAATCATTCACTTTATGTATTACATTAGAACCAAAAACCCTGTTAGAGCTCTCCAGAAGGGTTAGATTTAACATTACAGGTCCTTTATTAGTTAGTTCAGTAAATATTTGAGCGCATACAAACAAAGAGGACCTTATCTCATGAGACGTAATTACCACCAAGAAGAGCAGTGATTGTCAAACTTTGTTGCTCATATGGAGAGATTTTTCACATGTCTGAAGTATCATTGTGTTTAGGAGAAGCATGTTCCTCTGGGGAAAATCGTTACAACCAAGAATCTGTGGAAAAGGTCTGTAGCGTTATAGAGTGTGTTTAGATCCTGAAGTCGTTGTTACTCCTGTTCCTCTACATCATGGCAAACACCAATGATAATGGCTTCCATTTATTGAGTGCTTAGTGTGAACAGGTAAGCACAATAGCTGTATAAGATATAGTAATGATTTACGTTATTATTGGAAGCTGATTAGAAAAGTTTAGGTATCCTGCCCAGAGTCATGTGGTCAGTCTAGTGAAATTGGCCAACTTCGAATTTGAACCCAGCTCATTTGACTACAGAGTCTGAGCTTTGAACTACCATGCAACACTGCTTCCCACGTAAAGGAGTTCTGCAGCCTTAATATAATCCTAATCTTACCTAGATAAATGACCTCTCTAAGGCAGATAGATCTCAGTGTGTTGTTAGGATTAAATTGAAATAATATGAGAAATTTCCCAGCTCAGTGTCTAATACATGGTAGTAGTCTCTCAATCATATGCTTCCCAAATATTTATTGTTCTTAAGTGCACCCAAGTCTCTTTAGTTTTAGTTTTTGCCCTTAAGCTTTGGTTGGAATTAAATTACTCTCTGATGTCTCCTCCTGTTATCTAATGGATGCTAGTCTTTTTCCACCAGCTATCAGAGAGATAATTTTGCCCTAAAAAGAAAAGAAAGGAAATCAGTATTTTCTCATTTCTCCTAAAGTTGGTACAGGTTGAACATCCCTAATCCAAAAATCTGAGAGGCTCCAAAATCTGAAACTTTTTGAGCACTGGACATGACTCCACAAGTGAAAAATTCCACATATAAGTACATAACGCAAACTTTGTTTCATGTCTAAAATTATTAAAGTATTGTATAAAATAAGCTTTATGTGTGTATAAGATGTATATGAAATTTAAATGAATTTCATATTTAGACTTGGGTCCTGTCCCAATGGGATATTATCTCATTTTATATATGCAAATATTCTAAAATTCAAAAAAATCTGAAATCTGAAACAGCTCTGGTCCCAAGCATTTTAGATAAGAGATACCCAAACTGTAGTACTAGTATAGATAATACTATACTTGAGGCACAGGAGATAAGTAAATTTATTACAGACAGTGGTTACCTCAGAGCATTAAAGCTTCATTCTTTCTTAGAGTCTTCATTGAAAAGGTTACAGAATACATCAAGTAGCTCTGCTGTAAAATTTTAGACCAGATCATTTGAAGTATTAATTTATTACTATTAGTCATATGAATTGTTAGATTATGGAAATGATCTAACACTACTCAATCAAGCTATGCTATAGACTGCTTTTCAACATGAAAGGAATTTTATATAACAAATTCTTTGTGTTCAAAGCAATCGGTAAGCTACTGATTTTTATAAGAAAGCATAGGTTTAGATTTCTGATTTATAGTATACAGTCTTAGAAGGGGAAGGTTTTGCTCTATAGTTTTTCATTCCATCAAAGAATGCTCCTTTCTGGGAAAATAAAGTGTAAGTACATTTGCGTTTTTTTAATATTTCATATTTCTCAAAACTTATAAATATTTTCCCAAGGAGTCGTGTTGTTAACACCTTTGAATTAAGATATTATTCTCACATTCCTCCAGAATTAAATGCCAGCTACAAGTATAATTGTGAAAATTGACATTTTAATATATTTTTAATCCCTGTGCTATTGGTACTGATTAGTTGTAGAGAATCCTTTTTCAAATCTACTTCTAGCCTTCAGTTTGCTGATATTCTGGCTTCAGTGGGTCATGTCTGTGGGAAAATAAAGTGGGTAGGATTTGTTTCTTAACCCCCAAATGTCCCATTTTGAAAAATTGAAACAAGGCTTGACTGGTAATATTAAGTTATAAGAATACTTTTTTTTTTTTTTTTTGGCTTTTGCAAAGTGGGAGTATTGCTTAAATTATTAGAAAAGTAGAATGATTTTATTATTTTTCTAGGTGAGAAAGACTTCAGACTTAAGTGGTTTGGTAGTTAAGATGGAATTTTACATTTTTTTCTTTTAGGTTGACAATTGCATTTTTTGCACTCTCCGGGCTGGATATGTTGGATTCCTTAGATGTGGTGAACAAAGATGATATAATAGAGTGGATTTACTCCCTGCAGGTCCTTCCCACAGAAGACAGTGAGTGAGTTTTTAGCATTTTATTTTTAGTGTGACTAGTTGTACCTGACATAACATGCTTTGGACTAGAAAACCTTAGTACTTACTCATGTACTGTTAACATATTTTATTTATCTGTGATTTCCCTATAACGTGGCATTACCATTCTGTTGAAATACAGTACTTAGCAAATCTGATCATAATCATTTAAGAAAATAATTTGGAGTTATCTGGAATTAAATAGAGATTCACCGTTGTGGCACTATATTGTGTTGTACACTTCCACATTGATGACTACTTGTTAATTATTTATAGTCAGTATTTATGTTTGATTAGTTCAGTAGCATTAGCTCTTTTTTTCATTCCCAACAATTCTTTTCAGTGAAAAACTTCTTTCCATCAAAAGTTTTCCTTCAGTTTCCTGGGTTTTTTCCCTCCAGTGTTTTATTAGCATTCTTAATGGTTTCTTAGAGCTCTTATGCATGCTTCAGCCATTTTTATACTTCTTAATACTTTAAAATTTTTGATTAAGTGAATTCTGAGTTCATAAATAATCACCTACAAATATGCAAATTTTATTAACTTTTATTCACTCTAGTAAGTATAAAATATCTAAGATATAACTTATACAGGTTATAAATTTTAACCTTAAAAACATCAAACTCCTAGGAAATCGTGCTCTGTGTGTGTGTGTGTGTGTGTGTGTGTGTGTGTGTGTGTGTGGTCATCACCTATCTGTCTTTAAAGAGTCAGCAGTTACAGATTAGCAGTGTGGTTCATTGGTTGGAGAAATCATATGTAAATCTCATCCAGTGAACCTTGGAGAAATAATAAGCTAAAAGTTTACTTAGAAAGATTTTCTGTATTTGACAGATGATCTTGGACATAGTTTGTAGCTTTCTACTTTGTTCTTGAAGTTCATAATGTTCGTCTTTATATACTTTTTAAATTCTATGCCTATTTACAAATTCTTATTTAAAATGATTAAGCATTTTGAACTAGGTTTATCGGAATTAAATATACAAACATCTAAACACTTTTTTACCAGCATCATGAGAAGTATGTATAAGAGTTTGATCAATAGTTACAGATCTAGCATGTTGACAAGTAGGCTTTATTGAATTGTCTGCGAAGAGTCCTACTCTTTTAAACCTGTAGAGAAGGGCTGTGATAAGTTACAAGATACGGTCCGCATTTTCCAGGAGCATATGGCTAAGGCCAGGTCATAGTCGGAGTCACTTGCAAAATACAAGTCATTTGTTATTTTCCCTTTTTGCCAGGATGTTTTTTAATGGTTTGAGTGAAAGTCTGGGATTTTTTAGAAAGTTAATTATTAGACAGGTGTATGGTAGTACTATTACAGATTGTGCTTGTTTTTTTTTTTTATTATTATTATTAGTATATGCCCGGATCCATAACACACTGCAGGTTTTTTTGTTTTTTTTTAAATGTATCTTACATGCTACAGATAGGAAATCATATACATTGTGGCACATAGAAAAGCTGTTTTCTAAGTTCTTGCCAAAATATATTTTGATAGTATTTTTTAATTAAAAATTTTCTGATATTCATTCTCCTGAAATAAAATAGCTATTGTTTTTATAGAAAAGGATGGACCATAACATTTAATGGGAGAAACCAAACTGTAGGTTATAGTTTCCAGACTATTGGTCACTTACCATGCTTCCTACTTTCTGTCTTTTCTTCGATTTCCCCCCACTTTTAAGGACTATTTGGAGTCTCTGTGATTGAACAGTTTTTTTGGTTTCTTCTTTTGTAAGTGTTTACTTCTTCCTATCATTTTATTAATGAAATGAGTTTTTAAACGCTTTTGTATCTATATTGTTTTAAAAAGCTACATACTTCTCATTATTTAATCTTGTGTTGTGAGAGGCGCTATTATCTGAAGTTTCATATAATCCATAATAATTTTGTTACATAATTACCAGAATGGCTAAAAATGAAAAAGATGGAAAATAACAATGTCCACAAAAATGCAGCAAACTGGAACTCTCATTCACTGCTAAAGGAATTTTACAGCTGCTTTGGAAAACTAGTTAGTTATATTTACTAAGGCTGAATGTATGTATGTCCTATGACCCAACAACTATAGTATATACCTAGCACAAATGAAAACATGTTCCCCAAAAGATATGTTCTAGAATGTTTATAACAGTGTTTTTATAAGAGCCTAGAACTAGTAATTATACAGTCTACCGACCCATCTTCAATATAATGGATAAAGGATATATTAGCATATTCACAACATAGAAAATGATACAGTAATGAGAATGAACACTCTACAGCTACATGCAGTTGTTTGAATGAGTGTCACAAACATGTTTTTGAGAGAAAGAAATACATTGTATATCATCCAGTTTTTACAAAATACAAAAATAGGTAAAGCCAGTCTGGGCTTTTGCGGACTACTAGAAGGAAGTGGGAAAGGCTTCTGTAGTGCTAGCCATGTGCTTTTTCTTGAGCTGGGTGCTGTTTATACAGGTGAGTTTATTTTGCAAAAGTTCATGGAGTTGTTTACGATAGGAGTACTTTTCCTATGTTTATTATACTTCAGGGAAAGTTTAAAATTTTTTTGGAGTTAGAATTGAAGCTCAGCATCCCTTTTGAGACCCATCAGAATTATCTTTCCCATTATACTGTCAACTCCATGGACTTCATTGGTTTGAAGCTCATGGCTATTTTTTTCTTCAGTCATTGCTGCTTAAAAGTTACTTAAAATATTTTTGCTTCCATCTGAATTGTAAACTTCCGGAAGGCAGACAGAGTGAATGTGTCTTCTATTTCTTTTCCCTTTCAGTGCTTAAAACATTGTTGTGTATCAGTAGTTGTTAGACTGTTAAACTACCTGCCCCTTATCCAACTTTTCTCTTCCTCTTTTATATATTTTCATATTTAGCCTAGGGCCTCACCTAGTTCCTCAAATATTTTCTAATTCATGAAGCATTTGCAAATTGATAGAATATGCTTTCTGTAACTCATAGGTCTGTACTTGTCTTACTTCAAGATACCACATAAAATCTAGGGAATTATAAAATCTAGAAATGTTAAACAAAACCTGAAGAATATAAAGAAAAAAATTGATAGATTTGACTAAATAAATATTTAAATAGTTTAGTAAAAGATAACAAAGTGATGTATTTGCAATAAATTATGGCTTGTATAATAAAATATTAACATCGACTATAAAGAATTGTTAAAGATTCAGAAGAAAAAGGTACATTGTCCTTTAGAAAATGACGAAATTATGAGTAAGTAGTTAAGAAGTACAGATAGTCAATAAATACATAAAAAGATGATTAACCTTATAGAAATCAGGGAAATTCAATCAAAACAATGTTACATTATTATTTTTTTTAATCTAACATGTCAGTTTTGCTAAAAGCTGCCGAGAATATGGGGGAAAGAGTACTTTAATATTCTGTTGATGGAGGTGAAAATTATTACAACCTTTTGAAGGGCAGTTTAGCAGTATAATTTATTTATTTATTTATTTTTGCCCTATCTGCCATATTCTCATGTATGCTGTAATGGGCTGAATAGTGGCCCCATAAAGCTCAGAACCTCAGAATTTGACCTGATTTGGAATAGTCTTTGCAGAGGTAATTAGGTTAAGGATCCTGAGATGAGATCATACTGGATTTAGGGTAAGCCCGAAATTCAGTGACCGGTGCATGATGAGTGAAAGGAGAGAGAGATTTGAGACAGAGAGGGGAAAGCCTGGATGAAGAAAGAGTCAGGAATTAGAGAGATTCATCAAGCTAAGGAATGCCAAGGATCCCACAGCTATCAGAAACTAGGAGGGAAGCACAAATCAAATCAGATCCTCCCTCAGGCTATCCAGAAAAGCTGCACTGCCAACACCTTGACTTTGGTCTCTGGACTCCAGAACTGTGAAAGAGTAAATTTCTGTTGTTTTGAAGTATCAAGTTTGTAGTAATTTGATAGGACCTCTGGAAACCAGTACATGTGCACAAAAATATATATAAGCTTGTTTTGGCAGTGTTTGTTACAGTAACAAATGAGAAGCAAAATAAATGTTCATCAAAAGTGAAAGTTACATAAACTATGGCCTAGTGAAGAATATTATGCAGCAAATGAGGTATATATGTATACAGACATTAAGCTGTCTATCATGTATGATTAAGTGATAAATTTAAAACATATACAGAGGTGGTTTAACAATCTATCAGAAAAACTCAGAAAGGATACATAGAAAATCTTTGTGGAGGGGGAAGTAGATGGGAACAGAGGTGGGGATGGCAGGATAAGATACTTTACTGTTTTTCTATATATCTGAATTGTTTGATTACAGTAAATATATTTCTGTATTTGAAGTTTTAAATTAGAAAAATACTTAGCTTAACCTCTCTTCAAAACATGCAAAATAAAAACTAAAAGTTACATAGTTATACATAAATAGTGATTTGTGGGTAACCCCCCATATAGTCACCGAGGAAGGAGAGCTAAGCAGAATTCTGGCACAATTAAGATCTGAAGAATATCTCAGTTTATAGTATTACTACTCATTTCCTTTTATATAATCGTTTATATAATCATATATTAGTTTATAGAATTAGGGCTTGAAGATTATCTCAGTTTATAGTGTTACTACTCAGTTATTTCCCTTTATATAATCCTCTCTATATAATCATGTATTGGTTCACAGCATGAGTGCCTAAAGAATATCTCATCACTCAGTTATTTCCATATATATATATATATATGTATATGTCTTAGTTCATAATCGGAGAATGCCTAGAGTAGACACGGTGCAGAGCATGAATTGAGGAATAAGCAGCTCATAATTGGAGGAATGCCTAGAGCAGACACAGTGCAGAGCGTGATTTAAGGGAAGAACAGTTATACCAGGACAAGAATCCATGGCCCAGGCAGCAGCATTCAGTATCGTAAAGATACCGGCTGTATGGCAGGGTTGAGGCAAGAGCCACTCCTCCTGATAAAGGAGTTGTAGGACCTTGCTCCAGTTCTTGTGGAAGGCT